GGGGGGGGTGGGGAGTGGAAGGGTGTTTGCAGATTGCATATCGGGGAAGTGGAAAGCTTGCAGAAGTAGGAAATATAACTTTTTGGAAGGGAAATTAATGAGCCTGTACTGTGATGGTGATTCAGGCAACACATTTCAAAAGTAATTACATTTATCGAGTTCTGCATGTCGTAAGAGCTTTTCTACAAGCTTTCGTTTATAGTTGTTGACACTCGTTTATATCTTTGGTCACTTTCTGATTGTTAACAACCGTCGCTGTGGCCGTTGCTACGTAGAAAAACATTATACCACTGTGTAGCTCCCTTGAATTTCACAGTCATCTAGAGGAAAATTCAGCAAGATCGTTTCAAAATGTTTTTGACAAGTGTTCAAGGGTCTCAACTCTTGTATTTTCAAGAAATTGAATTTTTCATAAACATGGCCTTATTTTAGGTGTATTTGATAGGAAAGCGCTCTCTGTCCACCCTATTATTAACGAATTAGCAAGAACGCCTCTGATCGAGCTACAAAAACATCAACCGTAAATACCGGAAGGGTACCACACCATTAATTACCCAAAGAAATTTGACCCCGAATCATTAGACATTTTCTTTGTCCATGACGAAGTCCTAAAATATGTCAATTTTTACAAAGGATGCATAAAAGTTTTTTTTTTCTTTGCTTTTATCTCAAAATGCCACGCAGCCACTCGCACTATAGCATGCAAAGCATGGAACCCATTTGCATCTTCGTCGTCGTTGTTCGTGGCTCTATTTTTCTGAGGCGTAGTTATACGTTGCTGGTTACTCTGTAACGCCATTAAAGTTAAAAATCGTAACCACCAGAATATATTAACTCAAGAATCTGGTATATGATAGCTGATTGATATCTAAACAGCCTCGCTAAGATTTTTAAGTCCGCGCAGTGTTTATTCGCGAGTTATTCGGAGGAGTGTTTCACCCAAATTTATAAAGCCTTAATGCGAGACGCCATGTTGGAGTCCCTCGGAGGGGCACAGACATGAACAAAGGAACAGAAACATTTGTAATTCTTGGTTTTGCGTATTTACACGAAAATGCATTACTGTAATGTTCCAACAGATTGAAATTGATACTTCGTCTAGTGGAAGAACCGTTCGGGTACCAATAACTTAATCGATAACTCAGCTTTTGACCCACACGAAAGACTTTATGGGCCGCCATTTTAATGTCACGCAAATCATAAACTAGGAAATTCAAACGTGCTACATTACTAAAATGCAGAAACCTGTCGAGCTTAAACGTTGCAAAACGTCAAGTTCTTAGAGGGTCTTACATTTGAAAAACTATAACTACCGATAAAGTGAAAGATGTATTGAGGAAAAAAAAAAAAAAGGACTAACGTTCTAAAATTCGAATTTTCGTGCTAATTTTGCTGTTTTGTCATCTCCTTCTAGTTGTCCGATGCCTGCCTAAATTGTATGCTCCAGCTGGAGGCTCCTTACAGTGTACCAAAGACAATCAGTATGGATCAGAATGCTCCTTCGCTTGCCGTGATGGCCATGCAATGAATGGCTCTGACCGCAGAATCTGCGAGAAGGATCCGATTACGTCGGTTGGTGTCTGGACTGGGAATGAGACAAAGTGTGAACGTAAGTAAAATAATGCTTAAGTTAATGTCATAATCCACATTTTCATGTCATAATAATAATAATGGGTAAAGCTTATAAAAACAAGATTCTGACTGCATATTTGTAAAAAGAAATGCTTCATTGAAAGCTTTACGAGTCGATCTTTCCATCTCTTCCCACCAAAACTATTATCACAAATTAAAGTCAGCATTCAATTGTCTTTCCTTAGTCGCCAAGTGTGATCGACTCGTTCCCCCTCCAAACAGCATACTGTCTGGTTGCGGAGGCGGTTCCTTGCAAAACGTCTTTGGTGACAAATGTCTTCTGTACTGCGTCCGTGGCTATCGCCTGGTTAACGGCTCGACTGAGAGGGTCTGTCAAGCAAATGGTACCTGGTCTGGAGAAAAACCGCATTGTCAAGGTAAGGGAAGCAACATGAATAGGGATCACTTATCACTTTTTTGTTTCCACAAAGCGTATTTATACCACTGCATGAGTGTAACGGGTATTATTTTCCCAAGTGGTCTTTTTTGGTCTTGGTGTTTACCAAAATGCTCGCGAATGTGTAAAAGGACAAAGCTTTATTGACCCTTAAAATCCTGTTCTTCTGAGTCACATAATGATGCCAGTCTACTGCACACTGAACGTAGTTTATAAGGATGATGTTGACGAGAGGAAATGCCTAAATCGTTTATTAGTAAAACTATTGTTTTGTTTTTATTTTCTATAGTTGTCCATTGTAAGTCCCTTGAAGCTCCATCAGATGGTCAGGTGACACCCGACTCTTGCAGAATTTATCCTGAATACGGTACTACATGTCACTTTTCATGTCCCCAAGGCTATAGACTGCATGGAGAGCCAATAGTGACCTGCCTTAGCGACGGTCAATGGTCAGGAAACACCACTACGTTTTGCAAAGGTTAGTTTATATTAAAAGAATAGAAAAAAAAGTCAATTCTCTGTTTCTGGGGGCGCTACGTCGGGCATGATGAGGAACAGTTTCAATTTTACTTACCTAGGTATTTATCTAAAACTTGAATCTCGTGGAAGAGAAATATTTAATGAGCTCCGAAATAAGATTTCTCTTTTATTATTCCAATACTTGCAGATGTGGAAAAACCCTTGTTCGGCGGTACTTGTCCCAGTAGTGACATCAGAAGGTACGCAGACAGGGCTAAAAACTATACCACTGTAAACTGGCCTGTAGTGGTTGCCACAGATAACTCTGGCATGGCAACCAATGTTACGAAACATGGTGTTCCTTCCGGGAACAAGTTCTACGAAGGACGACATGAGGTCATTTACAACGCAAGTGACGCAGCAGGAAATTACAGAATCTGCAAATTCCACGTCACGGTCGAAAGTAAGCTTTTTACTAAGTAATGATAGATCTCCCTGCAAAACAAATTGCTATTGCTTATTATTAACCAAAACATTCCGCGTAAGGAAGGCTTTTTGCGATAGTTTTCAATATAGATGTAGCTGGCAACTAAGTAGGCATTTAGATTGAGCATTATTTTGTGGCAGATCTCTCCTCGGGAAACACCGGCCATAACTTTTTGTTTTTCGACCATCAGCGACACACTAAGTCACATTAAATACGAATTGTCTCTCTGTGTGCGCGAGTCTTCTAAACAGTATGCAGGTCAATATTGTACCATAAGGGCATTTCCAGACATCACCATTTTCGAGTTAGAAAGACTCGCTGTTACATGTGTTGTTTTGTAATTTGTTCTACAGTTGTGCGATGCCAAACATTGTTTCCTCCATTAAACGGCTTTCTAGTGGGAGACTGTGACAACAGCTTCGGCTGCACATG